AGGACTCAATTTTAAGGGTTTGCAGAGGCGACTTCAAACATGCTAATTAGTGCACATGGTATTAAGTTACCAAAACGTACTTTCTCTGAATAAACATACCCTTTTTTATGGATTGGAATTTCTAACTCTCAAAATACAGCTTGGAAATATAGTCCCAAAAGTAAGGTTGGGACAGCGGTCCAAACTTTGGACCCCTTAATGTTAATTTTATTTTACACTATGCCCATTTCAGGAATTTTTTAAGTGAATCCAAAATTTTTTTTGCATACAATTATAAAATCCATTTATTCAAAAATATTTTTTATGCAAACAATAATTTTTTGATTATCATTTATTAATATATATTTTTTAAAAGTAGCCAAAAAATTGTACTCTTTACAATTTAAAATATTTTTGACCATTATTAAATTAAATAATTATTAAAAGTTATATTTTTTACGGAATTATTATTGAATAAACGAATTTTATAGTTAAGTGCAAAAATTTTTCAATTTGTTTAAAAAGTTCAAGACATGGCAAAATATGCAAAAAGTAAAAAAGGGATCAAAAGTTTGGATCGATCCCCTGACTAAACTGTTAGGGCCACATCTCTGAGGTATATTTTGAGGACCATATAGTTCGTATAGAAAGATAGAGTTCTAGTACATGAAAATCCGATCATGAGTTCAAAAGTTATTCAGGGAGTTTTATCTTTTTGCACACTGTACATTTTTTGCAAGCACAAAAAGTTTGATACTACATAGAATTCAACATTTGATAAAATTGAGTATTTAAAATAGCATGGCTTTTTTAAAATAGAATAGGTGCTGTATGACTAGCATAAAACAACACTTAACAGATTGTGTTAACAAAATGCATACATTACAATACATTAGATAGTGTTATTAAGGAACATGTAAGATTTGTAAAAATACAAACAAGTTTGATTTCAAACAAATATAGGCATTGAAGCAAAAAGAAAACTTCAGTAATAATTTAGAAACACGTGAATTGCATTTAAAGTAGAATCTTGATTATCCATTGTTTGGTTATTTGTTCAATTTAGAAGTTAATTTGCAATCTTATTCAAAGTTTATTTTTAATTCTTACATTAATCTTTATCTCTATTCAACTTTGTATGTGATTTTATGTTAATTTATTTACAACTAAATGCATCAAGTGAACACGAATTTCAATGTGTAATTTATAAATTGCATGGAGGGAAATTGCAATGAGTACTTTGAAAATCTCGTGAACCTGGGATTATCATGAAAAGCAAACATCTCAAACACTGTCACTTTTGTATTTTACAATGTTTCATTTTTTCGCACACTGTTATTAGCGCAACCAAAGTTGAAGAAATGGAAGAAACTAATGTATATATTTAATATATTAATTTTAAATAAGTGAAAATTGAAAAGCATCAATTGGAAATTTAAAATTAACTTGCTTAAAGTTAAAGCTTTCCCCATAATATTAATAGCTAAACAATTGTAATGATCATTTTAAATTCCTTCCATTTCAAATAATCTCTTCTATTGTCCCGGAAGAAATACGTTTCTTCTGGACAAAATGTGAAGCCTGCTTCTGATAATAGCTATCTATTTTTAACAATTTTGTTCTTAGTTCAATGATTGAACAATTAATAAAAGTATCAAAAAAATAACCCCTATTATCTTACAAATTTAAGTTTTATGATATAACTATACATATAAGATAATCAGGATTCTACTGTGCACTTTTATAAGCCCAGATCAATTTTTTTCTAAAAAGTTCATTTAAATTACCTGAACAATATAAATTAATGAAATATATTTTCAGATAAAGTTAATTAAAACATTTTTCTTTATAATAAAGTAAAAATATAATAATTGAAAATCTAAAATTTAAAAAAAAAATAATAATAACTTCTAAGAATTACATTAAAAACATAACACAACAAATTGGCATTTTTCATTTATATTTGGCCAAAAGTGAATACATTTTTTAATTAGTTAGAAAACAATAGGGAAGACACCACTACATTATAACAAAAATAAAGCGTTCTAAAAATCACTGATTTCTTGATAAAAGTTATAATTTCAAATTACACAATTTATATGAAAATCTTTATTATAAAATGAATTTCAACATTACCTTATTGATCAGGAAGTTTAAGGAATAACATTTAAAAAAAATTATTTTCTATTTTTAACTATTATTTCTTAAAATGTCAAAGCTCAAAATATTTTTTTACAAGAGTCTATGCTGAAAAATAATGCACAATAATTTAAACGTTAAAAGCCATTTTGTAAAATATCATTACTATTTATAAGAGTTCTTCAAACATTTAATCATTTTTTTAAAGTGAATATTTTTTATTCAGGTGACATTAAATAAACTTGCTACTTAAAGATAAAATAATAAAATTTTATAACAATAAATACCATTTTAGAAAATTGTAATTTTTTTTTTAAATTTAAAAAAAAATTAGAATTTTTTTCTTTTTTAAAAAAAAAAGAAATTTTCAAAAAATATGCAGAAACTTGATATTAAACCAAACAAAGCTAAAAAAAAATACAATGGAGTTGGCAACTATTGTGTGGCTAAATATACAACTTCTTTTTGGTAAGTCACCTTTTCGTTTTGTTTAAAAGCATTTGCAGAAGTAACTAGCTTCGTAACCTTTATTTGAAACAGTATCATCACTACTTATATAAAGACTGTTTTATGTCATTCATGAAACACTTATAACTATAAGAAACTGAAAAACAAAATACAACAATCAAACGAAAAACATGTTACTTTGGATACAGTTTTTCATAAAAAATAATTTAAAAACATTGTCTTGAAAAACTCAGCAAGAGCACTCTAAAAAAAGTAATGATGCCACTCAAGTCAAGTTTTTATAACAAATAACTAACTGAACATTGTATACGAAAGAGCAAAAGACAAAATAAATAAAGTAGAAAATTCAATCAGAAGTAAAGACGTCATACAGGATACCTTTTTTATAATAAATGCTTGATGCAATACGATGCATTGAAAAAAAATTAACCTAAATAATAAATTTTGACATTTTGGAACACCAGTGCTGTCCGAGACGTATTTCGGACATGACAGTTAAAAGGTTAACCAATTTGAGCGATCAGAATGGACAAAATAAACCCAATACATAGTACCACATCAAGATTACAATTTAAAATTTAAGACTAAACTCATTCATCTCTTAGCGAATTTTGTTAGTTAAGTGTTAAAAGCTATTTTTTTTTAGCTACTCATTCTGTAAGTTTTTATATCTTTGCTTAAAGCGATCAGCAGGGGATAACAGATTCAAAACGTCAAGTTTGAATATTCGAGAGTAATTAAACCAATCTTAAAAACAAGGTCATGTAAGGGAGCATTTAAAACACAAAAACTTAAAACAATTTTTAAGTGAAGCAAATAAATGAAAACTGCGTTGATTGAAAGAGAAGCAAGTAAAATTTTTCATTATTTGTCTATTTGAAAAGACTTTTCAGTGTCATTACTTTTTCCCAAGTCTCTTGAAAGTTTCATCATGTCTAAAATGAAAGCATAATTAATCAGCTTGTTCATGATTTAAATTTCATTTGTCACTTTATACATACAAGTCTAATTGCATCATATAAATGGCATATTATTCAAGTTCATATTACCGTAGTTTGTTTATGCTCTAGAACAAAACAATGAGAAAAAAAAAAATAACTGCTATAATTACACACCAATAAAATAATTTCTAAGAAAGAAACCTACTATATATTGATTTACAATTCAATTTAAAAAAAACTAAAGCTTTAAAAAAAGTTATTTTCTATATACACAGATTTGCACAAAACACTTACTACGAAAGTCACATAAATTTACAATTTTAGCCACACGAAGTTTCTAATTAAGAAATTTACATTTTCTAAATTTTAATTACTGAAACTGTGCCAGCTGGGTAATGTCAGCTAGTCTCAAAACTTATTGATTCATTTAATCAACAATAACTGTACACATTAAATATTCAACAAATTAACATTTTATACATTCCAAAGTAACTATACATTTTTCACAGTGCAAATTATGAAATAGCTGTCTTAAATATTCCCTATTTTAAGGGGTCACAATACCCACAAATAAGTTTCATTTATTTTTTAAAAAATAAATATAAAGTAACTAATTTTTAGATGATTTACATGCACATTAAAAAAAAATCCCCCAAAAATAAAAACATTGCAATTTTAAATGTCTAACACCTCGTAATTTCTAAAAACTATAATTGCTTGATGTTTACATTGATACCTGCTTTAACTCTCAGCAGTCATCTGCTTTTATATCATAATCTTTTTAATGGTTACTAATATAAAAAAATCATGGAGAAAAAATTTAAAAAATAACAAAATACAGCTCAAAAAAATTTTACTAACTTCTAAAACTCTTATTCAATATAATTATATGAAGTAGATTATAAAACAGTTAACTTCAAAATTTCAATAGAAGAAATTCTTTAGTTTTCCAATAAATTAATCCATTAGAAAAGCACTTGTTAAGTTTTATTTTTCTTAACAAGACCCAAGACCTTTCTATCGTAAGATTTTCTTCACTTATCAACTAAGGTAGGAAGATGAGACGAGTTTTTTTTCAGTGCAAAGTTTCAATGTAAGGTAAGCAATTAAAAAACTTGTTACTTTTGTCATTTTTTGGGTACTTTGACCCCCTAAAAATTTTATAGAAATAAAAAATAAAAGCACGTACGTGTGAAATAAATTAGTCAATGAAATGAAAACTATTTACAACTCAAGCATTTAAAAGTATAAAAGTTTAAAAATGCAAATAAATAAAATGAGAAAAAAAAATTAAATTCGACAGATTAAAAAAATATTTTAGTAAGCATACAGAAATCCCTTTTTTTAACAATCCACATACATTCGGAATTTATTTTTAAAATTCATGAAAAATTTTCTCTACTTTTTCAAAAATAATAATGTGATCTTTATACATTTTTTTTAAAATTTCATAATTAAAAAAAAGACTGATAAAAAAAGTGTTAATTGTTTTACTTGGATAAAGAAATTTATGCATACACATAATTAATGATACCATACCATCTTGTACAGTTTGTTCTAATACTTTTTTGAGCAAGTCCCAGAAAATTACAATACAAGTTTTCCATCAAAATGCATAAAATGGAGGGTCAAATGCATTAAAGGTCAATTAGCACACCATTTTCAAATATAACTTGAAAGGCATTACATCTAATAATATTACAACAATTACTCCTAATAACATTAGGGCGACTACTCCCAATAACATTAGGACAATTACTCCCAATTATATTAGGACAATTACTCCCAATAATATTAGGACAATTACTCCCAATAATATTAGGACAATTACACCCAATAATATTAGGACAATTACTCTCAATAATATTAGGACAATTACTCCCAATAGTATTAGGACAATTGCTACATAATAACATTAAGATAATTACTCTTAATAATATTAGGATAATTAGTTCCTAATAATATTGAAGTATCTACACCTAATAAAATTAGGAAAATTATTGAGATCCAGTTCTAATATTACATCTTACGATTTCTTTCCTCAAAAAAATGCATAGTTGAGTAAAATGCACAATAACACTTTTCAAAAATTGCAAAAGAAATATTGAGATTACACATTCCTAGATAAAAATTAAAATGTTATAAAATATGTCTTAAGTAAAACTTGCAAAGTCATAACTTTCACAATCAAATTTACAACAGCCATTGCGCTTTTTCCACTAGCATAAAAGATAAAAACAAATTTTCGCTTTTTCAGTTGATGAGAAAATATAACGCCTAATAAAATTATGAGATTCAGATCTAATATTACATCTTACGATTTCTTTCCTCAAAAAAAATGCATTGTTGAGTAAAATGCACAATAACACTTTTTGAAAGAAAAATTGAGATTACACATTCCTTGATAAAAATTAAAACGCTATAAAATATGTCTTAAGTAAAACCTGCAAAGTCATAACTTCCACAATCAAATTGCAACAGCCATCCTGCTTTTTCCACTAGCATAAAAGATAAAAACAATTTTTCGTTTTTTCAGTTGATGAGAAAAATCAAACCTCTGTTACTTCCAATTGATGGGGAATTGATTCATTTCCCAGGAGCAAATGATGGGTTGTAAGGGGGTTGATCATTGATTGGGTAAGGTGGGGGATTGCCAGACGGTGGGGGATACCCTCCCTGATAGCCGCCAGCAGCAGGATAGGGAGGTTGAGGAGGATATGGCTGAGGAGGATACTGGAAGTGCTCCTGTGTAAACTGTTGCTGAGGATATTGCTGTTGGAAATGTTGCTGAGGATATCCTGTGGGAAAGGTCTGAATTGGATAGGCCGGTTGAGCCGAGTAGTGAGCTGTTGTCGTCGTAGCGGTCGACGTCGGCTGACTTGCAGCTGGAAGAAAAACTCTTGTAAATTAGTTTGATCTTTTGTAAGTGACAGTAAAAAAAGAATCAAACATGAATATTAATAAGTAATAACACACAAAACTAATAATTTTAATTGGTAATAGTTGAGTCAGGGATTCGCAATCACTTTTAAGATTTTTTATTTAGTCGATTCAGCATTGCGCTCCCTCTTTTAGAAAATTACTTAAAAGTGTACCACCTCCCAAACCTTTTCTGATATTCCTCGAATCAACAGTCTTTAGATTCCCAGAATTCTGTGAATTAGCAAAAGGATTACATGCTTGGTATCAGCCATTAAAATCAGCCATCGAGATTTTTATTCACATAGCTTTAAAATAAAATATCGGGACTGGTATTTCCGCAATTTTAAAATCAAGCAGAGATTTTCGCACAATTTAAATCAATAAAATCCCAATCGATACTTTTATTAAAACATTCACATTTTATAGATAAATGCTTCCTTCATAAATTTTTTATTGCTAAAATTTTAGGTATTTTTTAATTATTTAATAAGTGTTTGTGCACAAACATTTTTAGATTACTATTTTCTGCTTTCCTGATTTCTTTTTTTTTTTTAACCAAACTCATCCCAGTATGAATCAATATAGAGTTCTATTCTTTTTTTTAAAAATGTGATTTTCAAAGAAATTTCGCTAAATTTGGAGGAGACGAAATCGCTTACCAATTGGTGCAATAAGTTTTTTAATTGAGATTATGTGTTTGCAGGAAGTTTTTCACTTTACCCAATAGTTTAATTCTGTTCAATAAAGTCCAATGTTTTCTGGTTAAGGAATTTCCAGACCACCAGTCAAAATCAACGTCCCTTACAATATACTTAAAATTTTATTTAACGACTACCCTTGAAACAATTTTACTTTGGCCCCAGTTGGGCTCAAAATTGGCCCAATATGGGTCCTATATGAACATGCACCGAAGAACCAATATAGGGATGTTTAGATTTTTTAATATTGGTCCTACGTAGGGTCATTCTCAGTCTTTATAGGGCCTATATTTACTGATTAATGAATAAAAAATGTCGGATGAATCTGATAATTCGATGTAGGGCCGATATTGATTGTAAAGTGGGGGAGAAATATTGGGTAAACCAGACAATTCTATCTGGGGCTAAAATCGGGAAAATAACACCTCTTTGAATCCGGGTTCGCCAAGTGGGCCCACTTTGAAAAAATCTACCCGGGTTTTGTTGGATGGGCCCACCTGGAGAAAACCCACTTGGAAAGATAAGTGGGTTTTTTCAACAAAAAAAAATTTTGTTATTAAAACTTATTGATGCACATTCAATTTCATATAATTTATTGTGCAGCATAAACTTATCAAATAGAGTTGCATGATTTATTAAGTTTTTAATATTTGTAAAGTAAAAGAAACTCGAATCCATAATTTTATAGTACTAATGAAAACTTTAAGTGGGTTTTTTCAAAAAGTAATGTTTTAATGAAATTGAATCAAATAGAAATTTAAATAATATAGTCTGAAAAGATCAATTTTTCAAATATAGCATGTTTTATATATTAACCCCTTAACTGCCGAGTAAAATTAACGTGATTCACTCCCCAGTGCCACCGTTTTTCGCTCAATTGCACTTTCTTACAAGGTGTTTTGGTGGAGAAAATGATGCACGCATTGCAATTTAAAAACAGTTTAATTTTACAAGACAAGGAAAAGGAAAGAAAGAAAATACAAAATTTAAATTAAATAATAAAAATACAATATAAAAGATAATAAAATTTAGCAGTTGAATGATAAATCCTGGAACATGGTTGGACACATAAACCAACATCACATTCATCGCACCGATAGCGGGATTCACGGCGAATTTTTTTTCTTGAACAAACAGCACATTTTGGCGATGCATTTTTCTTTGAAGACGTTGATGGAAAGAATAAAAAGCACCAAATACATACGGGAAACAAAAGCGAAAAAAGAATAAACCCGACCTTACTCAAATAAATACACACAAGCGATTAATACGATATCACTTTTCCATAACATCCTTTTCCCATTCCCCCTCCTCCGAAATTAGTAATACATTCGCAAAGCAAACACTTTCAAGGCCATTTTACTGCATTCTGAAGTAGGGGGTGTAGTTCTATTTATAGCAGCGCAATGCAAAGCATCGTACTTCGGGAAAGCGTATATATACGCCTGCGGCAGTTAACGCATCTTAAGGCCGAGGCGTATATATACGCCCGCGGCAGTTAAGGGGTTAATATTAATTCATATGTTTAAAAAAATCGAAAAGAAACAATTTGTTTGTTTTTTTTCTAAGTGATACATTAACACATTTAAACATTTTTATTTTCTGGCTTTAAAAAAATAAGCTAAAACTTTTTATAAGAGAACTTTTTTTAAATTATTCATCTAAAAATGAAATCATTTTCCTAGGGTTAATTATTTGAAAAAAAATGGGAAAAGAAAAGGATACTCCTTATAATTATACATAATTTCAATTTGTCTTAATCTTATTATAAAAACATGGAAGACCATTAAATATTTATTTCAGTTTTTATTAAAGTCAAAAGTCAGATGAAACTTAAATTTTTACAGATTATAATTTTATAATGGGAAATATATATAAGTTTAATAAATATAGTAAATAAATGTGTGTGAAAACAAAAAGATTAATAAACTTGTTCCTCTTATATTACTGCATTTATAATTTTTAATGCTTGAGTTAAAAATTGTGAAACGTTATGTACTTAACAATAAAGATTCAAATATGTATTAGTGATAATGCGTTATTTAAACTTAATATAAAATACATATAACAAAATTTAAATAACTTTTTAGATTTATTTCTATTTTTAAGCTTACACAACACTTTTTAATAAATAAAAATATTTACACAGTAAAGCTTAAAAGTTTATGAGCAATAAATGAAAAAAATCCAGTTTTCCCCGGGTCATTTCAAATAAAACCCAATTTCCCTCGGGGTTTTTCAATAAAACCCAAACCCTGCTTCGAACCCTTATTTAGCCAAAATTCACAAATTTTGACTCAATAAGATCCAATGAGGGCCCAACTTATTTTGCTGCTAGGGAAATTGAGAAAACAGAAAGTATAAACAGTCTGTGTAAGGTTAGAAGAAAAGGACACTCACTGTAAGATGAAGAATTTCCTCGCCGATTACAGCGTTTAGCAAGGAGACAGCAGCTGCAGCAGAAACACGATACCACCACTATGATGACAACCACAACTATAGCAGTTACCAGCACTCCAACTATGATGCCTATGGTATTACTAGAAAGTGCAATTACACATCATTAAATTTTCACAAACATAATCAACTTGTTCATGCAGTTCAAATCATGAATAAACCATAGTCTGAATTAAACTAGGAGCTACTCATTAATTCTTCTTGGTTAACTTAAAGTGTATAACTGTATATATATATATAAAAAGTGGAAAGTCCGAAATCATCAGGACTTCGGCAAGTTTGGAAAATAGATTTTTTTTCGATAATAGGTCTTTAAGATAGGGGACGCTCAAAAAGTACGTACAAAAAAAAATGGAGAAATTTTAACCCCTCCCCCCTTCATACATTACTGTACATAAGGTCTTACTCCCCCCCTTAGAGTACGTACATTTTATTGGTCTACCCCCCTTTTTCATANCCCCCTTTTTCTTAAAAATTAAAATAATTATGTTTTAAATAAAATTAAATATTTAAAAAATAATTTATTCATTTAAATTATTTAAACAATGACATCCAACTTTATCTTTAATCAATAAATAAAACAATCTTATCTGATCAACATAATAATTTCCTACAATCAATACAATTAATCTACATTATTTCACCAGGTGTTTTCATCCGGTACCAGAAAAAGTTTCGGGGAAAGTTTGGAGTTTGCAATTTTTCATTTTGCGAGAAAACTTTTTTTGAGAACTGATTTACTCATTTTAACAAATGGTAGCCGTGTGAAAAAAAAATACAAGAACAAACATATGTATAATACATGTGTAGGAAAAAGTCAAATTTAAATTTGGTCCATGCTTATAATGTACATACTTTGTATAATACCTCCCCTTCTCCCCATCGTACAAAACCGTACAAAATAGCAAATCCCCTCCCCCTTCGGGATGTACGTACTTCTTGAACGGCCCCATCAACAAACATCCTTATTCGATAAAAAAATAATGAATAGACAATAACTAATATCGATTTGAATCAACAACAAATAAATCCCCATGATTGCACAATTTTTGCAGATTTTGTTACAGATTTTCACATTGATTTTAAAAATCTCAATCTTTCAATATGTCATTATAACATATCGCAAATTCCGAATCCTGTACTTCAGTTAGTAAAAATTTTCCTTGATCCCCCACAATTAGCGACGAATCTAGAGTAAATCGTGATTTTAACGATCGATTTTTCGGTAGTTATTAAAATGGATTTTCACTTCGTTTTTAAAATCTCAATGTTTTAATAAGATATCTCGTTTGGCAAACCTCAAATCGTGCATTTCTCACTCAATTATTGACGATTCAACCCTAATCCCATGTGGATTAAAGGTCACATTTTGATTTAGAATAAACACTGATAAATTGTATAAATCAGTTGAAACCATTAGCCAGCAGCAATTCTGTTTAGATATTCTAGATTTTAAAAAATTTCTAATTTAGGATAAACTTTGTAAATTTTCAGTTACTCTTGTTACAAGAATAATTAATGTTTTAAAGAATAATTAAATTGGAGCTTTTTATCATGGCAACAGCAACACACGCATATATTCATGTCTAAGATAGAGCGGAAGGCGCATTTATAAGTCTTGCCAAATTAAACTTAAATGACAGGTTTTGAAGATTGTATTTTAAAATTAGGAATTGGTATAATTTTTATAACTATTATGTTTCTTCCAATTATGAAACAACCCATATCTACTCTTTACAGTTGTATTAAGATAAAAGAAAAACTGTGTTAAATTTCTGCTTTCTTTTCAATTCATATTCTGAAAAATTCAAACAAATTTTAAGATTTTTAGAATGTCATTTCATAAGTATAGAATTTATTACATATACTAAGAACTGACTAATATAATTTTGAAAATTGAAATTTATTGAAATATTAAATTTTAAAAATTTGGAAATCGATAAAAATTTCAAATAACCTTTGTTAAAAATACTTTATAAATTTGAAATGGATAATTGATGATTTCATGAAAAAAATAATTTAAGTTAATGATTTAAAAAAAAATTCTTGATTTAAATAATGATTTTACTCTGCATTTGAACACAAGAATCTTTTCTGAAATTTGACACCTAGCTAAAAAAAATTAACCTAGTAATCTCTGACAGCAAATTGCAATTAAAGGAGTGAAAAAAAATTTTTTTTCTACTACAGTTAAATTTTTTTAACACTAATGAAAGGGAAAAATATTTCTGGGTCATCAGAAAACTTACAAAAGAAAGCTTACAAAAATGTTAAAATTAATGAAAGAACTTACATGGCAGAAGCATATTCAGCATAGCTGCAGCAAAAGCGCCGTTTTTTGGGTCCACAGCAATATACTTTATCCTTTGAGTCAAAAGGGCCAGGACACTCTAAAGGGGTGGTATCGAAGCCAAATGATTCTTTTGTACACATAATACTTGAGACTGTAAGAAAAACATTCTTTTACTTAATTTTCCAATTAGTTATTTCCTTTAAGAGATTTTTTTCAGCTATATGGAACTAAAGCCTTACTTTTTGAGACCCAGCTTTTTGTCAATATAAATTTCTTAGTCAAATAAAAAGTTTCAGTTTAGTATTCATTACATTTCCTATCAAAAATATTTGAAGTACATACAAGAATGTGATATAATACTAAAGTACTAACTTAGTATAGTTTCACTCAATACGTTTATAACATGAAACTCTGTAAAAGGATAATTTTATAAATTTCAATTTTAAAAAAAAGGCCCTTTTACAAATTAGAATTTAATGAAAGGACGTTTCTTTTTTAATTATAAAAATGTTCTTTTTCTGTACCAGATTTCTGCCTGGGTCAACACTGACAAGCTTTGGATCAACACAGACACTGATGATGATTGGCTAATTAAAATATTAGGGATGCAACGAATATCCAGCAAAGTACTTTTTGAAAAATTATTTTTCGACAGTATAGATTAGTATAGATTATTAAGAATTATTTATAATCATATTTTTTACAATATAGTATTAAAAATAATTTTCGTATACATTTGTTAAGTTCAAAAACTTGTCAATTTTTGTTCTGAAAGTCACATAGAATTTTTTTTTAGTTCTAAAACCACACTGATAGTTGTTGCCTATTGTTTTTTTCTGTAATAGGGCTGCAATCTTTTTGCAATAATTTTTGAGTATCTACTTTGAAGGAAGTGCTCAAATTACATTTTCCAGCAAAGTTCCTTTCCTTAAAGTAGTGACTAAATTTTTAAAGTAGTTTGCTATCACTACATTTAAAAATAAAGTAGTTCCAGTTCACTACAAATAAAATATTTTGCCGTCTTCTAGACATGAAGGATTTTGGAAACTTAATAGGAGACTACATCTTTCTCAGAAGAAACAATACATTTTTATAGTAATTGAAGTATATATATATCCCTCATGGGCTGCAACAGTAGCACAACTCAAAAAACACGATTTTTGGACTAAGCAGAGCTCATTCTAGGCAGGGTAAACAGGGTGCAGCACACTGCTGCCCTTTTAAACAAAAGAATCCACCCTGTTGCCCCTGATGTAAATTAGTGCCCTGATGTAATAGACTTCACACCTCTTTTGCCCTTTCTTTCCTCACCCCTTCTTAATTTTTTCTCAAAACTGTAGAATGGATTTCTTAAATTTTCAACTCTTTTTTATTTAGTTTGTCATTACTGTCAATACATAGATTTATATAGGAGAAAAGGAAAAATAGCCATCACACCCCCTTGTTGCACTTGTCTTTGAAAGTTTGCAGTTGCTTCCACTATAATTAAATCATAATTATTATTAATCATTTTAATTATTAAATCATAACTACAGACACTTAAAAACATACATTTATTATTTTATTAATATATGCATGCATTTTAAATAAATTACTAAGCTTATTAGCTCAATAACTCGATATATATGGTAATTTATTAATAAAAATTATTAAATATGATTGGTTTGCTACTGTTAGTAAAGTAAAAAAAAAAAGTTTTTTCATAGAACGTGTAAAGCCCATAGAAAGAAATTATTGCCCTTTTCGAATAATAATGCCCTTTTTTTAAACTTTTGCGCCCTGCCCTTTTTTCTGCCTAGAATGAGCTCTGGACTAAGCACAGGTGTAAACACATTCTTTCAGCAGCAATACTATCACAACTCATAATTCAACTTGAAGGTAAACTTCGTTTAAGAAAACTAAAGCATTTCTTACGTATTTTGCTCAGCAATGAAAACTTTAAACCCACTTATCTCAAAACTTGATTTTTTTGAGTTGCGCTGCTATTGCAGCCCATGAGCGCTATATATCTGTACTGTAATTTTTTCCGTGTTTTCTTTACGTTTTGAACTTTTATATATATATAAAGATCGTGAACTTCATTTATAACTATAATCACCAAATAGATTTTATACTTGCAGTTTTTTTTAAAAAAATTGCAAGTATAAAGAGGTTTTCCTGGATTGAAGATTTCCGTATGGAGATCCGAAACAGAATAAATGCTAAAAGTTTCGACAACTTCGGTGCAGCAGCCCACAAGAAAAAAAAATAATAAATTAAAAAAACACTACAGAAAGGGACCACCTTGAGGAATTTATCAATTTTCTATAGTTATAATATCTTCAATCAGTTTTTTTTTTTTTTTTTTTTTTTTTTTTTTTTTTTTTTTTTTTTTTTNTTTTTTTTAACTTGCAAATTTGTATTTACAATTCATTTAGAGCCTTTGCGATTGTAGTTGGTGCAAAAGACCACGGAAATTTCCCCTTCCCGGGAGTGGCTACGAGTTATATCCTTCGAGTTGGTCCCCATCTGTGATTAAGTTTTTATTTTTTTTAGTTTTTCGCCGGTTACTACTGGGAAGTAGCAAATATTTTAGCATAGATCACGATACGGAATACCCATAATGCATGTAGCAAATTCTTTTCAGAAGCAACTGTAATTGTTAAAAAAAAATTTTAACTGAAAAAGTTGCAACTTCAAAAAATAGATAACTGAAAACAGAAGTTCATTACTTGCATATCAAGTCTTTAGAATTAACAAGTCAATATGCATGTTATGTATAAATCAATCCGTAGTAATAGATTAAAATGAATCATAAATTCTTACCTTCCGTAAAGTAAACAAACATCAATATCACAGGTAATAGGACATAAGCATACCTACACATTTTGACGTTTTACAAATGATTAAAATTTTAAGAAAAACCTCTTACGCACATAGATTAAAAAGATATATTCACACATTTAATGTTAATTCAAGACATTGCTAAAACTTCATGAAATTATTAAAACATTTACGATCCCTCATAACACTTATCGCAAAGAATTTATCCTTTATTCAATAAATTAATAAAATCGAATAAAAAATTGAGCAAATCCAAAACCCGATGACGTTTGTTGACGTAAAATTGCTTTTCATTGCCAAATACAAAAATTTCAAGCAGAGAAATATTTTTTGATATTCACAACTCCAGTTATATATAGAGGGCGCTAAATACTTGCACTTACAAGATGTAGTACAGAAGTTACCAAATTTTTTACAAAAGTATATTGATTCCGAACTTTCTTAAACTCCTCACACGCTGATACTAATTATGTATTTTTAGATAATTGTTTATGTTCTCTAACAGATTGAGTTCATTTATTTTATTTCGAAACGTTTCTTTCAAGGTAAATTTATGAGTGTATGTTAAATAGTAAAACAAAGTTATAAAAGTAAAAAAGTATGTCAAAAAACTTTTATTTCTTCCACTTTTTTCCTTTGGATGTCTATGGTTTTTATTTTGTTGCAATTGTTTGCATTCCTTACCATTGGAAAGTTTAAAAAAATATGTTAAATTATGCTTTTGCACAGAAATCATGATGGTGTTTTTTATTTTTGGTCATTAACTAAATAAGAAGTGCCTAAGTCAAATTATTTTAATATTTTTTTAATTAATAGAGAAGTAATAAATTACTCAATCCGACACATATCATGCGTTTCATTGTTAAAAAAAATAAATAAATAAATAAAACTTGATTTTTGTCATTCGACAAAAATGGAAAGTGGTTACCAATAAAAAGAATTTGTATTTTTTTTTCTTTTTAAATTAACCTGCTTATTAAACCTATGTGTTTCTTAATAAGGTGAATCTCTTGGTAGGAGAGGGTCAACTGAAAATAACTTTCTACATAAACACAATATAAATAAAAAATAAATAAGTAAATTCTATGTTGTAAACCTACTGAAATGTAAGTTTGATGCAATGAGGAAATACTGCCCTGCAGCCCTCAAGAAGTACGCCAACTGCTCCAAAATTGTCCGCAAAAGTGGGATTGCGAAGAAAAAAGATAGTAGAATTGCTACACATTTGGCGATGTTTCTCCTTAATCTCACTTTCTTCCTCCTTTTTGGGAAATTTTAGCTTTACACAGTGATTTTTAGTGGTATTTTAAATTTTGGTATTATGCGATGTTTGAGTAAATTCCGCATCCAATGACAAATTTTATTTAACGACTTGATCATAATTAATAATGAAAAATAGAAAACAATACACTATGCAGGAAACTTCCAAAACCGCACTCTTTTAAATTACTTCGAATAAAATAGTAATTTCGAGTAATTTAAAAGATTTCTATCCTTTCTTCATGGAATGTATACTTAAAAAATCTTGATATTTATTTTGAATGCTGCGATGGTATCAATATTTAATTACGTTTCTTTTCCCAGAAGCCAAGAGGCAAGAAACAACGCCTAAAAAAATTGTTGATGAACAGATTAAGCTCTTTAAAAATAAAAGTTATGGATGGTGTTTTCTACACTAGGGTTCGTTGCAAGTTTTTTACAGCCTGTACTTCCTGATTACTGTTTCCGGTCTCAAAACACAATGATCATTTGGCTCACAACATGATTATTGTGTTTTGAGACTCTCTCGAGTAATATACGTCGATTTCTTATATTTGTGTTTGAAAAAGAATCATTGTTTGAAGACCTGTCATTTCAAGACGTAAGAATCGTCATATGAAAAAAAAAAAAAGAAAGGAAAAGAATTGCTATAAAGCATTTATTTTCTTGTCAACAACATACCAACTTGGAAATTTAAACCTAAATGATAATTTGTAAAATGAACCTAATCTTCGAACAATATGCTAATTCTAACGTATGGTGGTGCACGGCAAGAATAAAGTAATGGTAAAAGGAGGCCAAATCAAGACTACTGAAAAAGCGAATTCTTTCTAAATCTAGCAACCATGTCACTCTCTTTTAACAGTACATCTACAAGTAAGTAAAATAAATGTTCACTTCAAATTCACCAAAATTACTTATTATCGTTAATATGTTATGAAATACAGCAGATTTGAGTTCAGAAATCATATACTTTATTTTATTAAAAACAAAATTATCTGTTTGAAAATATCGCCTCGTAGAATAAGCTGTAGTAAGCAGCTGTATACTTTCTAACCGGAAGTATAGCAGGTCAAGAACTCGAGATTGCTGTTTAGATTTATATTAAAGACACCATCCATTTTTATATTGTTCGCAAAATTTTCTAGTAGAAATAATTTCTTATGAAGAAAACTAACATTTTATTAAAAAATTTACAATTACATAATAACATAAATAACTGGATAAAAGTGACAAGCGGAGTCATAACAATTTTTAAAACCTAATTATTTCATAAAATAAATAATTCTTTAACATTATATTTGTGCATGATAGACACTTTAAACTGTAAAGATTAAATGTTAAGTCTACGAGAAAAAAATTGATACGTTTTATTTCGGTAAATTTTTATTCTCGACCATTCAGAAAATGTTACCCGTAAGTCGCAGCTCTCTAACGAAGTTAGATAGCAGAAACTCTAGCCCTCCTTTCTCATGGTTATAAGTCGAATATGCTCTTACGAATTACCGTGCCAAATTTGTTTAATTTATGAGTACCTTTAGGAGCCATTCAAAATTTCGTTAGCACTGGCAGGCGGGTTTGTAAGAATGGGCACGTAAGACATTAATGCTTACGTAAGAATGAGTACATAAGACGTAAGTGCTTACGTGTTGTTGTCGTTTGACAAGTGCAGAAAAGTACAATTCAAATAGGACCAAAGGCATGGAGCATATCCCAGGCCACATCTTCGACTTTTTCGGAATAAAGAGTGTCATGGCAGCAGTTGAGATCGGTGTTGAAGAGGGCAACAGAGACACAGTTGAAGAGATGCCTCGGATTCAGCTGAGCACCCGGCAATCTGCGTAGGTTCTAGATCCGCACTTGTCATAGAGCCATTGCCTCGAGAGGTTGGACTTCTACCTATTGGTTTGCGGAAGGTATTTTATTTCCCTTCTACCACCCACCAGTGGTGGAATTCTCCAATCCGCCACTTTGGGGACGCGCTCTCTAGGGGTTACAGGCTCCCCCGAGAAAGTGCTTACATAAGACACTAAAATACAAAAAAAAAAATTTAAAAATGAAAAATATTAAATTTGGAAACATTTTCAACTTAAAATGAAAATTAAATCTGCGGAAAGGAAAAGTCGGAAAATAATTTTTTCAAAAAGTTTCAGAGGTCAAGAGTTTTAACCACAGAAAGAAATTATGCTGTATTGTTGTTGAAGAATACTGTACTCAAAATTTTGTAAAATGAATTAAAATGCATATTTTGAATCCTTTACCTGAATCACTTAAATAATCACGAAAGTCAAAGTTATGGTCGTTGGACTTATTTTTAATAATAAAAGAGGGGAGGGGGACCAAATTCGTTAAACAATTGACCCACGTATAAATCTAAACCCTCTAAAAAATTAAATATTTTTTAAAAAAATTGAAAATTTCTGAAATGGGGCTCGAACGTGGATTTTGGTACACGCGATGGTGGAAATGAAATAACTTTTAAATTTTGCAGATTAAATTTATTTAAATTTCAAAATTTATCTTCCTATTAATTTTAAATTAGTATAATTACTTATCCATTTTTTAAGGTCAAATTTTTATTTTTTCTTACTTATTCACCCTCACCTTTGCGTACAAATTATGTCGATGTTTGCAGATGATGTGATAAACTAAGTCTAATGCAATAAACGCGAAATTTCTTTAGACGTAAGAATCGTCTNCCATGCTTTGCATTTCTGCCTTTGTTTATTTTATGATGATTGCTTTGAGTTTTCGTGAATTTTTTATAATTATTTACACCTATGGATTCACTTAGAACTGGTTTCCAGTGAAAGAAATGAATTTTGAATTAATATTTTTTCGATTTGGTTTTGAAAAATGCCAATATATGGTTAAAAATATTGATATAATATTTTTTTTAAAAATATACATATATTTGCCCAAAACATCTAAAATCTATAAAAATTGTCATCTGCGGAAACTTTATGAATCTTTTATAATTTTCTAGCACAGCGAGATTCAATAGATTTCATATTTTCAAAAAATGTGACACATTATTAGAAATAGTAACAGAGCATTAAAAAATTAAACAAATAAAATTTTGTCTAAAACACGCGTTATCAGTTGGCATAATCAGTCATGAGGAGGATACTGTCAGAAATTTTGTAATTTTCGATACCGTAGTATTGTTTGTTAAACCGAAAAAGAAAAAAAAATCTCTACGGGTGGTTGAAAATGATTTTTCTTTAAAGTTCAAAAAATTTAACTAATACAGTAAGGTTTGAACTGCTTACCACCAATATCAAATTTCATGTTATCTACTATGCCAAAAAATTTTAATTGCTGAGGAAATTCTTTTTCTTGAGAAGACTTCAACGCGAAATGGACCCAGTCATTCAACTGCAGTACAAAATTAAATTCAAAGCTAATTATGCAAAATATAAAAAACCAATTAGACAAGCCAAAGCATTTCATCTAAAGAACTACAGTAGAGCGCCGATTATCCGAACCCTTATTATCCGAACGTCCAATTATCCAAACTATCTCCGCATTCGTTTTTTTTTTTTTTTAAAGTTTAGAATATTTTTTAACTTATCGACAATTTTTCTAATTTAGAAGAATAAATAATATCCACTACATCTGAAGACTATTTAATTTGCAACCTTTTTCAGCAGTTTTCATATAGTAGTTATACATACATGTGTTATTATACCATACATACATATAGCCATGCAGACATGCATTGCTGCATAAATAATAATAATTTAAACTAGATTTTAAACAACTTTCCAATTATCAGAGCTTTTTCATTATCCGAACCTCGTTCGTTCCCGAGCAGTTCGAATAATCGGCGTTTTACTGTATATTAATAATCTTCCCACTAAGAACACTTTCGCTACCCCGTATAAGATTGTAAAAGATAGCCTTAGACATCAACAAATAAACAATCCAATTGACTTTAATGGCAGTAAAACTAAAAGTTTTCAAGAGTCTATAGAGGGAATCATGCAGAACCATTTCCCAGGGGCACCTAGGAATGAAATATCCCATGTAAACA